AAAGAATATATGATAGTCCATCCCGCTTTACCATTCTGTGGCTGTATTACTGTTCGCATTTGCCGTGTTTTTAGGCAACATGCGCTCTTTCTACCAGTTTCTCCGTGACCAAACCTTAGAAGGGTATTATGCAATGACAGGGATGCTTTTTCCGTACTAGAGAGGTCTGGAGTTTATTCTATCCCTTTGGAATGTACAACATCTGGTACTCATACCCAGTATGTTGGAGCAATATCCAAAATGTTGTCTTGCTGTATTTCTGAACCACCAGCAGTCTATCAGGGCAGGCAAGTGTGACACCGAGCTAGCAAGAATGGTGTTGCAACACCAATATACCCTGTTGTGGGATCAAGTGGTGATGCTCAAGCAGTGGTGTAACAGGAGCATCGTGTATTTATGGGAGGTGCTCCTTACTGACGTGCTAAATCCATGCAATACCCCCATGCTGGAGTGTCTTCTTTTTGGGTCAGTTTATATAACAAATTAAGATATCGTCGCTAGCTCCACATTCATGTAAAAAATTTTTGCACATGCGCATTGGCACCATTTGCATATTATTGGAAGTTCTCTGTATTTAGTTCCATTTTTAGTTTTATTCCAAAGCTGTTTTGCTGTTAGAGTAGTTCGAAATCGTTATTCAATAAAAGGATATTAACTGTTTTTATCTGCCTGAAGAAGACGAAAATAGTTTAGTCGAAAGCGCTAGTTGTTTATAGTGATACTTGTACGTTGTTTAATGCCTGGATGATAATTTTCTCGTTTCTTGCTTATCTATTGATCGGCATGAGGTCCAATTTCTTTCACTTTTAAACTTGTTTTTCCTTGATAAATAAAAGTGTGCATTCTAATTTTGCTTTTTTAACCAGAGTACATTAAAAAAATCTGGGATTGAGTAACAATGGCACATGATGGTTCAAATATGCTAAATACCTTATTTTTTCCCAAATATTCTGTACTAACATGGGGTATATCTTATATGCTGTAAAATATGGTATATAATTTGTATATATAAAATGTGTTATAAAGCAACAATGCTCTTTACCTGATGATTCGTCAGATGAATTGAGAAAATATAATAATGGTGGCACATGAGTTTTTATATTCTCCACCAAGCATTTGTCATTGGGCAATGACATATGTAGAGTAGTTGCTATTATTGCTTTTTGGCCAGAGAAGAAAGAGTGCTTGAAGTGTGTCACTCTCAGTAACTTACTTGGAGTACTCATAGAATATGTGTTTGTATGCTATATGAGTGCTGATATACTTAGCAATTAGTGGATCTCAAGTGTACTATTGTAATCTAAAACTATATTTACCTGCCTGTGTATGTGATTGTATCACCCTACTTATTTGGTTTGGATTTATATTATATATACACACTATGAATGTGTTATTGAATTAAAGATGTATTTTTATGGTAAATATTTTGTGATGTTAATTTTGTTTTCAGTTTTATACAAAGTAAAATATACAAAGAGAGACTCATTTTTATCAGGAACTTTTTCCAAAATTGAAAAGTTTGTTTTATTCACATTCCAAATTGAAACAGTTGTACTATATTTTAAATACAGAAAACCATAGGCTTCATAAATAAGAGTTCTGCTTTAATTGGTGCTAACATTTGATTCTTGAATTCTTTAATCATTTGAATCTACCTATAAGTAAAAGGAAAATATAAACTATTTTCCTTTTACTTATAGGTAGTTCTGAATCAAATTTTATTCAGTATCAATTAGTCATTAGTTTTCTATAGTCGTACCTATTAAAAAGAAATTTAGCATTTGATTAGTGATGTGATTTTTAATTTTGTAACTAATTACAGTGGAACCTCACCTAATGAGCATAATTTGTTCCAGAATTTTACTCATAATGTGAAACACTCATTAAGCAAAACAATTTTTCCCATATAAATTAATGTAAAATATGATAATGCATTCCATGCTGATAAAAATACTCAAATATTTTATGTATAACATTTATTCAAAGAAAATTATACAATATACATTGTTAAGGAGCATGAATCATCTTCATCTTTTCTTCTAGCACAGAATGAACCAATCTGGCAACCTGGAATGCGAAATTGATTTGCAGAAAACAAAAAAATCAAAAAAGTGTCTCATAAACAGCCAAATATATCAAATTTTTGGACTATGTAAAGGCTATAATTAAACATTAGAAATTGATTAATTTGACTAGAGGTAGGCAGTTATGCTTCCATCTCATATTAAATTTAATAATTATAAATAAATAATTTTTAATTTAGACATTTCTGAAATTTAATTTGGAATTGGTCATTAAATTTAATATAAGATGGCAGCATAACTGCCTACCTCTAGTCAAATTAATCAATTTCTAATGTTTGATTATAGCCTTTACCTAGCCCAAGAATTTGACATATTGTTTGGCATGTTTATTATATAATGGGCTATGATTGTTGATGTTTATATGTAATATGTGTGAACACAAGTTTGGAAAAATGTGTGATCACAACCAACACTAAGATGCTAGCATAATGAGTGCTAAACACAGACTGACATAGCATGTACACAATTCGGGACTTCCCCTCTCCTCATCACTCATTATTGTTAAGCGAGTCATTTTTTTACAATTTATTTTGCTTGTTATGCGAGGTGCTCATTAAGTGAGATTCCACTGTATTGTTTTTTTGTGTATATTTTATCACAATTTTTTTTTATTTTAGGTTTTTAAATATTTCACTTCATGAAATAAATTTTTTTGACAAATTTTGAACATATCGAATAAGAATTTATACTCTATTTACTTTAAGTTTGCTCCATCTACAAACCTTGTAGGTTGCTGGCAGTGTTCAATATGTCTTTTTATGTATAGATTTAATAAATGGTTGTATAGTGTGCAAGCAAAAAAAAAAAAAAAGTTTTGTTTTATGTAAGTGTGGTAGTTCATTTTATTATTTAGAAGTTTATAAATAAGAACTCTGCAATTTGGACAACTTGTTTCATTACAGGACAACCAGAAGTCTAGAGCTGGTTGCCTGCTGGACAATTAGCAAATATTGTTAATTTCTAACCCTGATAATTTCATGAATGAAATAATAATCTTAAACTTTACAAAATTTGTATAGCATTTTAAATTTTATAATTTAACTTTTGAGAAGAAGACATGTAAAAAGATGTGTATATTTCCAATTTTAGAAGAGATGTTAAATTCTTTTGAAAGAGAATGATCACAACATGCAGCTAAGAAAGTGTTATTAAGGCTGGTTGATAATTTATGAGAATAGAGGGAAAAAGAAAATAAGTTTGCTTTTGCTTCTGTTGTTTTGAAGTATGAACAATTCTTTTGATACTCTTGTGAACAAAGAAGGGAAAACATGTTTTGGTAGTCACAAATAACAATCTTCTTTAATAAAGAAGAATGGATGCTTTTATAATTTTCAGAAAGATCATAAAGAGAACAAAGAATTTTACAAAATAATAGAATTTAGTGAAGTTTCAAAGTACATTTGAAATACACACCAATCTGCACAAAATAACACCTTTCTTACTTATTTCAGCAATGTTTATTCTGAATTATGAACATTTTGTGCATTTCAGTGTGAATTTAAAACTTCCATTTTTCCAGTTTAAAGTAGTCCAGCTAATTAACTTTATAACATTTGAAATATTTTATGAAGTTTTAAATTAATATTTATTCAAATTTTAAACTTTTATATTCAGGTAATTTACTATCTAGAATACAAGACTAATGTATAAAAGTGTCAATAAATATTTCTTTTATTGACACTTTTATATCTTCATTAATAATGTAAAGTTTTGTTTTGGATATGAATAATGAGATACTTAATGAAATTAATGAGATCAATTGAATTTGTCATGAGTAATAAATGAAATATTATACAGTTTAATACCCCTTTCTCATTTTTTTTTAATTTTAAAAGTATGAACTGGCTTGTATTTTTTGAGAAGTCAAATAAAAGTCAGTTCGGGAAGAAATGAATTTGGGAAAAAAGCAATGATGATGATATAGTTAAGTGGGATGAAGGTGTATACAGTAAGAACCCGCTTAACGTGGGTGATGCGTTTCTAGACAACAAAGCTCTAAGCGAAACAGCATTAAACAAGGTAATTTTAACATAGAGTAAGTAGGGATAGGGGAACACTTGACTAAAAATAAACAAATTTTACTTTAAGTTATTTTTATATTAATTTGCATAATAATATATATTAAATAACACACAAACTCATGCACACAGAAATGTAAAGTTTATTTTTTGTGAGGAAGGTCTTGACTTTTCTGAAATTCTTGTTCTTTTGCAATAAAATCGTGTAGTTTCATTTGTCACTTTCCTTAAGCAAATGTTGATAGCAGGAGATAGCATCCAAAATGCTTTTGCACTCCTTTCAAAATCTAGATCATTCGCTACAATTGATCAACGATTTCAGTTATCGTTACCAAACTTTTACTAAGGAAAACTGTAGAGAAATTCTTTGAATCTTTACTGTATTCTTTATTGTACTGAATCTTTACTGTACTTGAGAATTACTGTATTGTTAGGTTGACCAAATTGTCAACCTAATGATACAGCGATAGGCTCTTGTTGAGAATTCTTGGATACCTTCAGCCATAACTTCTTCCACACTCTGTTCATGCATTTATCAGTTAATTCTTGGCAAACATAGTCGATATTTTCTATGGCATCCATGATGTTATATTTTTCCAAAATTGCACAAAACAAACATAGATCTAAGGGAAGTATAGCGCTACGACGAATTGCCACCTTTTGTTGATTGGTTCTTATTCAGGAATAATATTATATACGAACCAATGAAATGCCATGATAATTTGAATCAGCGTAAATTTTGAGCATTTTTTTTAGGCTTTGAGCAAACCGCATTATATCGAATCAGAGTTAAATGAGGCAGCATTAAGCGGGGTCTTACTGTATATAGAAAATTTTTATCAGTTTGAAGTATCTTTAAAGGCAAAATAATTTAAATTTAACTTGCTTCTGTCGTTAGGATTTCCTGGGTTTGCAGTACCACCACCTGGATTTTCTGGTCCTAATGCAGGCCCATCACCTGGTGCTATGACTAATACAGTTTCATCATCATCTATGCTCATGTCTGATATCATTGAAAGTAGTACTCCTAAGTTAATAAATGGTGCAATTGATCCAGTGTTACAAGCTAAAGCAGCAGAATGGACAGACCATAAAACTACTGATGGACGCACATATTATTATAATTCGAGAACAATGCAGTCAACTTGGGACAAACCCCAGGCAATAATTGATTTAGAAAGTAAGTACTATATATTTTATGTTCAATGGAAAATGCTTAGTTTTTTTCATTTGAAAGCTTAATTATAAAAACATCATCCAAACAATCATCTAAATAATTGGGCTATAACTTCACTAATTTAATGATTAATACTAAGTAATTTTCTACTAGAGGTAGATGTTAGGCACCATCTCTTAACTAAATTAATAATTATAATTTTAATAATTAATTAAATAATTTAGAACCAACTGGAAGAGAAGAACTGACCCAAGGTGAAGCTTGAACCCACAACCTTGCTTGTTGTACAGTGCTTTGCCAGTTGTACCACCCAAACCCCGAGCAAGCCTTTGCTTCTAGATGTATTTAAAATTTTAGATATAACCTTATGTAGTTAATTAGTTAATCATGGCAAAGGCTGGGAATTGGCATGGCACAGGCTACATCCATGACCTAAATATATGTGTAAGAGTTGTTCCCAGTTTGGTGATTGTTTGGTGATATTCTATGTACATATCAGGTTTTTTGATATTTGATATACTTATATATATATAGCAAAGACTTGCTCGGGGTCCGGATAGGTAACTGGCAAAGCACTGCACAGCAAGTGGAGGTTGTGGGTTCAAGCCCTGGGCAGTTCTTTTCTTTCTGATGGTTATAAATTATTTAATAAATTGTTAAAAATATATTTATTAATTTAGTTAAGAGATGGCACCTAACATCTATCTCCAGTAACAAATTACTTAGTATTAATCATTAAATTAGCAGAGTTATAGCCTGATTATTTATGCGATAGTTTGGTGATGTTTCTATATACATATAGGGCTTTGCAATGTTTGATATGCTTAATTATAAATTATAACGTCATCGTTAGTAGGTTTGAAGAATTTAATTTTTGATGATAACTTATTTTTCTGTTTTAATTAAGTAAAATATATCAATTATTTGAAATTAGTATATATTTTTATTCAAGAAATGTTTCTTAGTAATGTATCTAAATTGATTGTAGGAAACTACTTGAATTATATTAATATTTTAACAACAATAAAAAAGTAATTAATTGACATTACTTAAAATATTCGTATACTGCTTTTCTGATTGTTTCTCTAGAAAAAATATGACTTTCATTTATATCAGAAAGCCAAATTTATATTTTAATAATTTGAGAGTTGTTTGCAAGACATGCTTGATTTTAGTCATAATATGCAGATTATGGGCTAATTATTGGAAATATGACATATTTTTTATGAATTGGAAATATATACAGTTACTGCAGGTAAAATTACTACCTGAATACTATAGATTCAGATATATTATCTGGACAGATTGCCAGTTATATTAACTGGCAATCTATCTGCCCAACTTGCAGGAATTAAACATTTGAATTCTTCTCTTATTTCTTTCAGATATTTCTAAATTATTTATTAATTAGTTGTAAGATCGTGGCATGTTTATCACTAGTATCAAATTTTATACTTTAATTAAATTATAGCCTACAAATGGTTTGTAAATTCTAGCTATTTGTTTTTTTTTTAATATTTGTATTAGTAATTGAAGTTTATATAACTCTGATGCATTAAATATTTTAAAGCATTCCAATTTTCTAATTTCTCTGTAGCACTAAATGTTCAAAACATTTTATTTGCTAAGGTGAAATTTGTGAACAAAAAGTTCTTATTCAAGTTCAGTTATATTTAGATTGAGAAATGAATTGTAATGTATGTAAAAATATTTCATTTAAATTCATTAGTAAAAAGTTTATGGAATCAGCATTCCACTAAGAAAATGTTTCTAAATTTCATTCCATAGTGATGAAAATGTACACATAAGTGAATTAACTATAGAATTATTTTTTTTATCTAATTTCAATAATTATTTGTAATGATTAAGAATTGATTAGAAATTAAGTTTACAGTATTCACAAATTAAAAACAAAATTTTAATATAATTAATTGACAATTCTGAATTAAGATGTCATTACATACTATGTTAAAAAAATAATTTTTTATATAAAACTCATTCACATTTTAGTATAAAATTTTGTAATGCAGTTTAATTACATATAACTTTAAAATAGTCTAAAATAATTTAGTTGTTTAGTTTATAGTTTAATTTGAGCTATGTTTATATTTGTTTTACATTTGTGCAGTTTTCTAAAGAAAGAAAATAGTTAAAAGTATAGAAAAAAAATTATTTTGGTTTTTTGTATGAAATTAACATTGAAAATTATAGAAAATATTTATATTACATTTTCAACATCAGTCTTTATTGTATTTTAAACTTTCAATAAATTGAAAATTTAAAAGTATTGTTATAGTGTTGTAACAAAACTGTTTTATTTATCGTCATAATTGATTATAAATAATTAAGTGAAGATTCAAATATGAAGATTTTATAATTGAAAAAGTAAGAATATTCAGATTAGTATTAAAGATTTTGGTGTTTGTTAGAAATTTCCAAATAAGATTATTTTAGAAATTTTTAAAATGGAATCAAACACTTATTGAAAAGTTTATTTATTTATGTTATTTGATTGTTTAATCTATTTATTTATTTACTTCAACTGTTCTAAAGCTTTAATTCTAATAATAATAGTAATTCCAAATTTTCGTTTATACGAAACTTATAGATAAGATGTAATGTAATAAAATTTGTATTTTCTTTATCTATATTTACTTTTGAACAGATTAAAATCAAAATTTTTACACTGCAGATAAATCTCTGGACGCTATTTCATTGTAGCTAACTTCAAGTTTGGATTTTCCTGTTAATAATATTTAAACATAATTAATTTTATTTATTAATTTTCAATTAGGTGCTACTTCTAATCTTGCTTCGGCTGAAAGTACTGAAACCATAAATGTAGAAAGTAATGGAACAAATAATATATCTCAAGCATCAGTAAGTGTTCCAGTTGCTAATGGAACTTCTAATCAGGTGGAAATAAAAGAAGAAAAAGCTGAATCAAATGATGAAGAAAAAACAGAAGAAAAAGAGGAAAATCTTACAATGGAAGCAGAAGAAAGTATTCCAAATGAATCAATTAAAAAAGAGGTATTATAGTTTTTAATATTATTTGCAAATCTATATAGCATTTATACTAGTGATGGGACAATACCAAGATTTCTCCTGATTTAAATTCTGATTCTGCTGAAAACTCTTGATTCTGATTCTTTTGAATACTTTCTAAAGTTTATTTTATTTCAGAAAAATTAATGATTTACATTATGAACCTGGTACATACATTAATTAATAAACACAACTTAAGAATGGAAAATCCAGAATCAATCTTTCAAAATAAACCTGAAAATTCTCCATTTACATGTGGATATACATGCTTTTATTGTATACTACAAAATAAATTTGTAATCTTATTTCAGATAAAGTTAATATTGCAACACTATCCTCAAAGAAATTACAGCTAATTCTGTATTACTCAAAGAACTATCCCACTATCCCATCATGTCATATAAGGTTACCATCTTTGGAAACTCTTTGTTGGCTGATATCATGACCAAGGGAAAGGTAAATTTATTATTAAAAAAATGGGGTCACAAAAAAATTATGAAATATTTGGTGGGCTGCAAGTATAAAAAAGTTAAGAACCACTGCTTTACATCAATAAACACCAGTGCAATGATAGAACTTCCATGGTTCTGACCGAAGTCCTATACAAATACTGTAATTTATCACTCACTACAACAATAGTAAAAACCCCGATACAACAATATGACTATCGGGATATGTTGGCATGACTTATTGCTGATTGATGCATGAGTCTTGTGTTCATTAATTGTGTTACCTACAGATCCTCCCCGCACTCCAGAATGGTTTGTCCATATCTAGCAAATTGGTAGCATTGCAATCGTTATCACTACCTCATCCAATCCTATTACGAGGAACTGCAAGCACCAACCAATCACAAAGTTTCCTTTTCCAGCCATATAAGAGCTTTGGCTAGTGACATAGAAGAAAATAGCAATACTAATGGGAAGCAAGAGAAAAACAAATAGCGAAAGCTCATAAACAAGTAAGTTTAGAAATTAAGTTAGGAGCATTCAAAGATATTGATAGTGGAATGAAGTAAATAGAAGTTGCAAAGAAGTATGGCCTTTCTCAATCAACTCTAGCAACATTTTCAAAGAAACAGAAGGAAATTGAGTGCAGTGTAGCAGATGGAAACATGAATCCTCCTTGGAAACGTCTAAAGATACCTAATTGTGATGATGATGACTGCTTTTGGTGTCAGAAAGCAGAGGTCTCCAGGAACTACTATAAAAATATTCTACTATTACAAGTTAGTCATAGACATTGTGGCAGAAGAATGTGTTTATGTTGATGAAGAGCTACATTTATTTACAGACTGCACCGATGAGGCAATTTTGGTAGAGTTGGAGATTGATGTCCAAGATGAGTAAGAGGAAGAAGAATCAGTTTCATGTAAACTTCCTGGTATCTTAGAAGTTATTTCTCAAATAGAAACAATTCAACACATGGCAATCACAATTACTGGAATTGGAAATGTACAGTACAATTAACTGCTATTGATGAAGTTTGTTGAGCATTTGTAAAACACAGCTTGCAAAAAATGAGTCAAAGCAAAATAACAAATTTTTTAATACAATGTAAAGTTCAAAACAATATAAAACAATTTCCTGGTTAATAAGTAATTCAGAACCAATCAGAGAGTATTATATAAATTGTAGTAATTAATATTTAAACTAATCTTCACTTTCTTAACAATCTCAGTTTTTAAGTTTAAAGATCTCACTACATCACTAACATGTGTATAACAATACCCGTGTTATTGTTATAGTCGAACCTCACTATAATGATATTTTGGGACCGAAAATATCATTGTAGTGAGGTTTGACTTTAATTATATTTTATAATAGTTAATTTTAATCAGTTCTGTTAACTAAAGTATTATCTATTTTTCTATGATAGAATTTTTTAAATTGAATATATTGTTTGTAAATTAGCAGAGAGAAGAAGAATCAGAAGTTGTGAAAGAAGTAGAGAAACCTATTGAACAAGAAAAACCATTGGATAGATCCCGTCCAATATCTAGCACACCTGTTCCTGGGACTCCTTGGTATTATATTTTTTTATATTTGAATTACATATTTTTTTAATTTTTGAAAATACTTAAATTTTCTTTTATTAAATATGTATTTAAATTTAAATTTTTAATATATTTTAGGTGTGTTGTGTGGACTGGTGACAACAGAGTTTTCTTTTTCAATCCAAGCACAAGGACATCGGTATGGGAAAAGCCTGAAGAGTTGAAGATGCGCAATGATGTGGATAAGATGGTTCAAACACCACCTCAACAGCCAGATGTTAAAAGTAATAATTATTAAATAAAATTAGACTTATAAATTTTTTTCATAATTAATTTTGGTATCCATCTAGGACTATTTAGTTTTCAGCTATGTTGAATTGCTCTTTGGATTCTATTATATTGAAAATTTACTAATATTTTGAAAATTCTTATTTTAAAATTATTTTTATATTTTTAACTTACTTTAATAAAATACCATATATTAAAAACATGAAAATGTTGTATTGAACATCATGGTCATGTCATCATTTGTTTTGTCTTTATGAATAATACTTTATTTTGCTCTTTCCATTATCAGAGATGAAACAAACTCTTAATTACAAACTTAATATAAATAAGTGTTCTTATTTAAAATTTTATTATGGATTTAAAGTATAAGGTGTATTTTGAAATTAAATTCTGAATGAAAAAAAAAGCAAAAAAAAATGTTTTCAACATTCTTTTCTTGTGAACCTAGACATTCCAGAGTCAAAACACTTTTATTGATGCTTGTGCTTTTTATCCTCTCATCAAAGAAGTATGCTGCTAGATTTTTAACTTAAGCTGATACAGCTGCTGTCACCTCTTTATTGTTATCAAATTATTGTATCACTAAAAATGCCTTTAAATGCAGAAACAGATGAAAATTGGACAATGTAAGATTGAACTACAAGGATAACATAAGAAAGTTTCCCATCAGAATTTCTCTAACTACCAGTTCAAGCATTTGTGTGACATTGTGCTGAAAGAAATACAATGTTTGGCCTCATCATTCTTGCTATTTATTTTGAATAGTCTTTTTTGTAAGTTTTTCAAGATCCTACAGTATCTATCTTTTTATGTTGACGCTTCATGACAGTAATTTACTCAGCAAAACACTGCCATTCAAAAACCGATAATAACTGATCTTAACTCACAGCAGAGAAAATTTTTATATTTTGCCTATTATCTTATACAAATGCCTGATAAAAGTGGAAAATCTGTCGTGTATGTCTTATATTTCTTTATTGCCTTCCAGGATAGCAGTGTACTGATAAAACTGAAGTCATCTGCACAGACCATATGCACAAATGTGCAATCAGGACTTATTTTTGAAATGCATCTGATAATCTATTTGATTTTACTAATATTTAATCATTTTATTCAAAATTCCAGATTAGAATATTTCAAACATATATATGTATACATACATACATACATACATACATACATACATACATACATACATACAATATTTTAAAAAGAATTTTATAAATAATGTCATTGAATGTTCGAAACTTATAAAGCATAATATGCCTGATATGCTTTTTATCTGAAGACATTCCGACTTGATTTTATTCAAACAAATGTGAAGTGTAAAGAAACTTCTAAACAAGCAATACAATCTCACATTAGGAATAATTTGTTAAATTTTACAACTGTTATAATTAAATCATACATCTATGTTAAGTAATGACAGCTGTTAAAAATATGCAAAAACTTTCTGTTCAACCCAGTATAACCTTAACTTATTAACCATGGCATCCAAGAAGTGTGTGAAAGCAATGAAGCTGAAGAGGAAGGATATTGATGATTGAGATGAAAAAGGATGAAAGCATGGCACATGTGCAGGTTTGTCTATCATGTATAAGAAGTTGAGGGTATGCTACCAGTAAATGAAATTTTCATTTTATTATACAGTATGTTTATATTCTATTTATCGTTTTCATGTTTAAATTTATTATTAGGACATTTAATTGTGTTATTTTTACCTTAAATTATGTGAATTTGCTGTTTTAAGTTTATAGAAATGGGTATTGTTTAACAGATCCTAAACTATGGATTAATTCACTTTCCATTATATCTAATGGAAAAAATTGATTCAAACTTTGAATGATTCAAAGTTCAAGTAGCCTTTTGGAATGAATTAAATTTTGAAGTATGAGGCATTGCTATAATGTATTTAAACTTAAAATATTTAGTATAGTAATGTGTGATAACAATTGCTAGTAACTTTTGTACTTCAAACTCATAAGAATTTAAAGTACTGAATATTTCTTTTCAAAAGAATTCATTACTAGTTGCACTCAGAATATCAACCATCCATGAGATGAGTAAGAGTAAATTTTGATTATTGTTTACTATGTTGCGAGAAGCCAGAGTCAATATGAATATTCTATTGACAATCAGCAATGATTCGATAAGAATCGCTCATTTTGTCACTGGCTATAAGTTACAACTTGTCACAGGACTGCATGATACCTGCTGATGTCAGGACCTGACATCAGTTAGGATAGTTATACTCGCATCCTAACTCTCGATAAGAGATAATAATTGATCATTGCTATCTATTACTAGGAAGGCTTTATATTGAGTGGAGATTACAGGCAACTCGATAGACGTCTGATTTCAATTGAACTGACATCAAGACCATTTCTATAAATAAGTAAAATTTAATAAAAATAACTAAAATAAAATACAAGGATTTATAATTTTCCTAACTTTAAAACTTATAAATTCTCTAATCTTCGCAAGAGAGAGAGTTTACATAAATTTGACATAATATCTCTGAATATAATCATTGATCTTGATTTCTTTCTTGATTCATAAGAGAGGTGGAGGTCGGGAAGTCAGAGGAGACTAGGCACAAACAAAAGGTATGGAGAACTGGCTGGAATGGCCAAATTCACCTTGAATCAGGCATGTAAAACCTTTAAATTCAGAAATTTTCTCCAATGAGGTGTTCGGATCGTGGTCATCTGACAATGAGTTGCGTTAGTTAGAAGTTTAGTCATTGGATTCAGTAGTAATTTTCTCAGGAAGTAAACTGTTGGGAAAGAAAGTTTTACTTCCTTGTTCTCTCCAAATTTCCCTGAAAAGGTGGAAAAGTGCACAATTTAACAACAAAATATTACATCAAGTTTCAGATTTTAGAAAAATAAATTAATCTTATATTTTGATTTTCACAATATCTTATGTTCTATAAACACATGTTGTATTGGGTTGATGTGTGAGTTTGTGCTGTATCATTTCTTATTACTTTTTTCTGTGAAATTATTGGTGTTTATGCATTAAAGTATGTCATTTCATAGCATTGTGTTCCTGTTATACATAAATGTTGTTGCTGGAAGAATGGATGCCATACAATCTCACTGACTCCAACAAAAATTATTGTGTTGCCATCTGTGCCTCTTTATTTTTCTGGTATTGCTTGTGATCATCAGCAATTCTTGTTCTGCACTGTCACAGGCAGTGAGTACTAGTGCCTGTAATATGTCAGTGTAAAAAAATAGTGTGGCGGAGTCTACAGACAGGCAACACACTGTCCTAAGCCTGATCTTCATCTACACTGAACAATGTTTTGTATGCTGAGATGTAGAAGGTGTTATCCACCACAAACTTCTTCATGATAATGCTATGCTACACATGGCAAATCAGACTTGGTCCATACAAATTTTCATGTTTCATTCCCCTTCAATGCCTTGCAAGAGATCTTTTCCAATTGGAAAGTTGGTGGATAACTTTTTAACAGCTTAACTTGTGGTATTCTTTACGTGATGACTTGATTGCTTGCCCAAACATTGGAAGAATGTCATTAACAATGGAGGAGAGTACATAGTTGATTGAATTTCCTGTGTTTTATGTTTACATTTCATCATTCAGTTCCAAAGTCAATGCATCAAGCCAATATTTTATGTGTAAATTAACATTTCTAAAAGAAGTATAAAGCCATAAGATGAAACTTATTTTATATGTCAATATAATATATTAATATATAAAATAAGTTTTATAATAAGTTAAATGTTAGCAGTAAGAAAGTTAAATAAAGTTGATTTTATAATAATATAAGTTTTAAGTTTCATATTTTTAGTAATATTTTAATGTTACAGTTAATGCTGAATAAGATGTTGTGTCTCAGTTTATACAGTCAATAAAGAATTCTTCTCAAAATTTACATTATCTATGGATAATGTAATTTTTCTGAAAAATTTTCTATTACAAAAAAAAAGAAAAAAGAAAAATCTGTATTAAAAATGAGGGAAAATAATGACAGGAAATATGATTTGGGTTTATTATAATAACATTTTGAACAAGTGAGTTATACATTACATAATAAATAATTTAACATGTAATAGGAAATGCTGATAAAATTCTATGTATAAAGTAGGCAGTAATGAATACTGAGTATGATATCTAATTTGTTGCTTGTTATTCAGTACTCAGTACTCATTACTAAATGATTAAAGATTAATATTAAGAAAATGTTGAATATACAAACAGCAATTTCTGTCTGAAAATTAATATGATATTACTAATTTAGTCAAAGAAAATAATACATAGTAGAATTATTTATAAATAATAATTTTAAAAAAATTAAAAAAAAAATTGTAATATGTAAAGATTACATTACATTTTACATGTATTATTTATTTATTTATAAATACCGTATTTACTTGCATATAAGACAAGGTTTTTATTCATTTTTCACTGCTTCAAAAACCTAAATCATCCTATACGTACGAGCGAAGGATTCTTTGTGTTTTTGCAAAAATTTTTGTGAACTGTGTATTTGCATTTTTTACTGGATGCTCACACACTGGTGTTTAAAACAAAAGTACTTTATCTAGGTTGTTTGAATTGTTTTTGTTTATTGTCAAGAGTAAAGATGAATAGCAATAGGAAAAGCAAAGCTTTTGAATTGAATTTCAAATTGGAAATTTCAAAATCACATGGGAGCCCAATATAAGTTTTAATCCATTCCCACGCGAAAATAGATGATTATTTGGAAATCAGAATTCAGAGAAACTTGTAAGTGTAATTGACAGAGAGTAGATTTGACTGTTAAGAATTGGCAGAAAAGGTTCCCAATTGTCCAGTTTTACGTAAACAAATTATGTTGTTGATTTTACGAGATTTTTCCTGAAAGATTAAAATGCCAGTAATTTTTGCAGGACAATGTGTGCATTTATGTGCATTTGATATTTTATTTGTGATTAAATGAAATAAAATTAAAATTGTATTAATAAATCTAAATTTTTTTATTTTG